TATAATTTGACCGTAAACTTGACAGGTAATTTCATGATATAAGTAATAATTTCTTCAAAAAGGGTTCACGCTGACCGACCGAAATTTGTATGAGTACAGTTTTTCATCTGATAAAGCCCGGTGTCCAGTTGGTGAATTAAAGATAGCATTTGTTCAAATTCAATTTAAAGGCTCTTAAGAAAGCATGCCTCAAGATTCATGCTAGTTTTCATGGGCATTTTGAAAAATGTTTTTTAAAAGTAAAATTTTGCATAGTGCATATAGAAAGTAATTTTTACATTGCAACGACACTGGCGATCTAGGTAAATCATCCAAAAACAAGGTCAAAATTTTACAGATAACCCGTACTGCGTTAATGAGGGAAAGTAGAAAAAAGGGGTTAAATACTAAAATCTGTCATCAATAGCAAATAATATGTATATTTTTTAATTAAACATTAAATTTGTATATTGTTAATTAAACATTATTCTATTTACATTTCATCAAGTTTGATTTTTTTTCAAGACAAAATTATATTTTTGCTTATCTAGAGTCATAAAAAACTTTAAAGCAAATTTTATTTAATTGGGTCCATCTGAATACAATGCACATTCCTTATGCTGTCTATAAAGTCTAACAAAATTTAAATTTGTTTTTAACATTTAAATATAAGTAGCTTAAACAAATTTACGTAATTACATCTCGGAATCGTGAGGTGAATTTGTAGATAATAACATTCACAAACACAAAAATAACCCAAATCAAAATGAGCATAAAGTTTAAGGATCAATATTGATATATGGATCAACTGTAAAAGGGACCTATATCTTGCAAAAAGGACAATAAGATTATATTCATAAGCATGCTATTTCAACCAGAATATATCAAAGTCAATATTTTAAAATTTTAAAATTTTAAAAAATAAAACAATGGTGAATTTTTAAAGAAAATTTAAATTATTTCCCTAGTTTTTTTTTTTTACTAGAAAAAAAAATTAAAAAGAACAATAATACGTAATTTTTTACAAAATTTAAGAAAAAAAATGAACATAAAAACAATTAAAATCAAAATTTTAAAAAATTTTATATCAAAACATGTAGTTTAAATTTGATATTATAAAAACGTTTAGTCAAACTTGACTTTTTCAACCAAAAACAAAATCCAAATTTGGGTTGTTTTAGGTCAAAATGACGTTCCCCTTTTAAGTTTGGGAAAAATTTCCCCCCAAAATTTCCCTTAAAATTTCCCGGAAATCTAAAAAAATTATTTTAAAAAGTTTTGCGTTAAAATTCCAAGAAAAACAAAAAGACAGGGAAAGTAAAACGGAACAGGGGAAATAATGCCGGAATTTTACAAAAGCTTAAATTAACCTTTTATAGTCATAAAAACACTCCGAAATTCCATTTTTAAATTATCACGTGTATTTTCACATAGGGCCCTTTGTCACACTTTTTTCTCTATTTTGGCCCACAAAAAATTTCCCTAAACCCTTGCTTGACAAAAGGGTAAAATTTAATTTTTAAAATTTGGTAACTGTATAAAAAAAAACCAAAACAGCACATGGTTTTAACCAAAGAAAATATATTACCCCGAGTCCCAATTTCCCGGGGCCAAACACCTGGGAGTAACTTAAATTTTTAAAAGGGATGATATTTTTTTTTTTTGGGTTTTTTTTTTTCCTTTGGTTTTTTTTTTTCTCCCAAACCTTATGAAATGCAAAAAATAAAATTTTAAAAATTTTGTAAATGTTTTATTGGAAAATAAAAAACATATACCATATAACATAAAAATGTTTTTTAATTTAAAATAAAAAAACATTTATCAATGATATTTTTCCCATCAAAATTTTTGAAAAAACCAGTCAAAAAACCCCAAAAATCCCAAAGAAATTATTTTAAAAATTTTATTTTGATTAATCTCAAATTATCTTGTTATGGGGGGAAAACATAAAAATCGGGCCCACGCATCCTATTTGGGGGGGAAAACATAAAATCTCAACTTTAAAACCAAATGCGATTTGTACCCAAAACTAAAAATTATTTAAAATCATTTTCCCAAAAATATTTAAAAAATTTTTTAATTAAAAAAAAAACAAATCGAAAAATAGCTTTTTTAAAAACTTGTCAAATGCGGGGTTTGATAAATCTTTTTAAGGATTTTTAAATAGAAAAGGGGCCCGTTTCATGTTAATGTAAATTTTAAAATTTAAAGTTTGGGAAAATTTTCAAAACCCCACCCCCAGAAATCTGACATTAGAAATTCAGAATGTACTATTTTTAAAAGCATATAAATCTTTTAAGCTGCCCGGAATTTCTTATAGAAAAATTTGTTTTAGATTTTATAGAAAATAATGTTTTTATGACCTTCCTTTATTTACATGAAATGTTAAATTCGGTAATATCTTTATTAATAATGCTTTTTGGAACTTACAAAATTGATAAATCATAATTTGAGCATCATATTTATGATATAAAACCATAAAAAAATGTGTTACAGGATCTTTAAAGAGACAATTTGACCATCTCAGTGTAACAGTTAATGGTGAGTGTACAGGTAAAGTAAAAAAACTTTCCATTTTGCCAATATTGTTTTAAATTTTGTATTCTTCTTCGCAATTACAATTAATAGCCCAAGGGACTCTATAAATATCCTTCAGAATGGTTCTGTAACGTTCAATTGATAAAAAAACGGGTTGTCTGTTTATATATTTTAGGAAGTGTTTTATATTTTATCCTCATCATTTTTGTTATAACTTTTTGGTCATCGGGCATTAAAGAAGTCAATCTTTTGAAATATGCATGTATAACTAATAAAGCTTGTCCCGACAACGATAAATGTATAACTAATTAAGCTTGATCCGACAGCTATAATAAGAGTATTATGATGCTTTAAGAATAGTACATTACTGAATATTCTAATGTCAGATTTCTGCGGCTACGAAATTACAATTCACTTTAATTTAAAGTCACATTAACAGTGAAACGGCCTCTTACGTATTTAAACTCGTTAATAAGATTTCATCAAGCCCCTCGCATTATGCCAAGCAACGTTTGAAAACGCTATTACGATTTGTTTTATTTTTAATAAAATATTATGTAAATATTTGGGACATGATTATAATAACTATTAGTTTGGATACAGTCAGCATGGTTTGAAAGTTGAGATATATAGTTTTCCCCACAAATAGGATAGCGTGGCCAGATATTATGTTACCCGCATAACAAGATAATAGATGATTATATCATATAAAAATTTCATATAATACGTTGTACTTTATGGGGTTTATTGACTGTTTTGCAAAATATTTGATGAATAATATCATTGATAAATGTTTGTATTTAATTATGAAACATTTTCATGTTATATGGTATATGTCTTGTATATCCAATAAATCATTTACACATTATAAATTCATTATTGCATACATCAAGTTGGCAGAGAAAAAAAACAACTGAAAAATAAAAACCAAAAGAAAAAAATATCATCCCTTGTAAAAATAATGTTACTCGAGGTGTTGGCCGAGTATTGTACTCGGGATAATATATTTACTGGTACAAACCTATGTGCTGTGGTATTTTTATACAGTTACCATTTATAATAATTAGTTTTACATTTTGGTCAAGCAAGATTTAGAATTATCGTGACATATAGAGAAAAAAGTGTGACAAAGCCATATGTGTAAAATACACGGTGATAATTAAAAGTGGAATTTCGGCAAGTGTTTGATGACGTATATAGGTCAATTATAGCTTCGTAAAATTCCGGCATATTCCGATGTTCCGTCTTACTCCGTGTCTTATGTATATCTTGGCAATTCAACGCAACACTTTTAAAGTAATTGTTAGATCCGGGAAGTTAAGAATTTGGCCGAATTTATCCCAGCTTAAAAGGGAACGGTCATTTTGACCTAATCAACAATTAGGATTAGTTTAGGTTGAAATGTCAAGTAGACTAAACGTTTGATAATATCAAATTTAACTACATGTATGATATCATTATAACAGTTAGATCAATTGTTTCATGTTCATTATCTTAATTAGTATCATTATCGTCATTATTGTTACTGTTAATTATACTAGTAAACAAAGACTAGGAACTAATTTAAATACTAAAATATTCACCATTGTTTATTTTCAAAATCAAATATCTAATATTGACTTGATATATCTGGGTTTGAAATAGCATGCTTATGAATAAATCTATTGTCCTTTTTGCAAGATATAGGTCTTTTACAGTTGATCCATATATCAATATTGATCCTTAAACTGATGCTCATTTTGATCCGATTATTTTTGTGTTTGTGAATGTTATTATCTACAAATTCACCTCACGATCCGAGATGTAATTACGTCAAATTTGTTTAAGCCTACTTATATTTTAAATGTTAAAAACAAAATTTTTAGTTAGACTGTTATAGACAGCATAAGGAATGTGCATGTGATTCAGATGGACCCTAAATTAAAATAAAATTTGCTTAGTAAAGTTTCATGACTCTAGATAAGCAAAAATACGATGTAATGTGTCTTGAAAAAAAATCAAACTTGATGAAATGTAAATAGATTTAATGTTTAATTAACAATATACAAGATTTAATGTTTAATTAACAATATACATATTATGTGCTATTGATGACAGATTTTTTAGTATTTAACCCCTTATTTCTACTCCGTCATTAACGCAGTACGGGTTATCTGTAAATATTTTGACCCTTGTTTTGATGATTTACCTAGATCGCCAGTGTCGTTGCAATGTAAAAATTACTTTCTATATGCACTATGCAAAATTTTACTTTTAAAAACATTTTCAAAATGCCCATGAAAACTAGCATGAATCTTGAGGCATGCTACTTAAAGAGCCTTTAGTTGAATTTTGACAAATGCTATCTTTTAATTCACCAAGCTGGACACCGGGCTTATCTAGATGAAAAACTGTACTCATACAAATTTCGGTCGGTCAGCGTGAACCCTTTTTTGAAGAAATTAAGTTACTTATCATCATGAAATTGACCTGTCAAGTTACGGTCACTTATAAAAACAGAAAGGCTAAGCAGATGTCTCTAATTTCAAATCAATTTTGTTAATACAGCCGACACAATGAACTTCTCTGCTGCACTCGTCTTTTTGGCTTGCCTTGTGGCTTATGGTTTGTCTTTTATTTACTTAAATGGATATGTCTTTTCTTTCTAAAATGCACTTTTATGTTGCTGAAATAGTATCAAGCTGGTGATATTGGGTTGTACAGTCTTTGAAAACTTTAAGATGCATTTTGTCAGTTATTGCTTAATAGTTTTTAACAATCGTAATAATTCATATCTGTTCATTGAAATAAAGCAATTTTAGTATCAATTTTGATTTAAATTTCACACACCGAAGTACTTTCAGTATTGTTTACTAATTGTTTATATCATTTTATGATTAAATGTTTAAAAAAACTAATATGAAGAAACTTCAAAGAACAAATATAATTAAACTCGACGAGTGTCTCACGAGTAGACTGAACATAAGCAACCCGGTTTTAAGCATTATACACCATTTGTTTTACCTACACATGTGTTTCAATATACTATTACAAAGTGACTGACATCTGTTAATTGATGTATGTATAATTCATTGCCATGGATATGGAAGGATGAATTAAAGTATAAACATAATTGAACAGATCCTACACCAAAGTCTCCTTTCTTGCCGATGTGAACTATAAATATTATCATTTATGGATTTCCCGATTTTGTCAAAGATTGACTGTTTTTCAGCACTTGACAGAGACATATTGCTGAATTAATTGATTTCTTAACATATTTATGTATTTTTCTAGTCTCGTGCGAAGTGTGCACGACTAATACTGACTGTGGAAATACTAGATGCGCCGCCGGTTTGACCGTCATCTGTCAACACCCTGATGGATCCGGTATTGTTGCTAACGGCGGGCTATGTACATGTGAACAGACTGCTGGAGGGGGTAAGTACAGTGTTGGTTTGGTGAAGGTTACTGCATCACTTTGAACTGAGGAAGGATAATTCGTTTAGAACCCTACTGATGCACAAGCAGGTTTCCTTTTATGATAACAGTTCTACATTGTTTAGACTAAAGACACTAATTTTGTCCTACCTTTACTATCACCTTGAAAAAGCCTTGTCGGATAAACGTATTTATCTCTAATCATTACGCCACATGGATAGCCTATGATGCAACACAAAACTCTATATACACTCTGTTTAATCAAGAGTAAAGGAAAACAGTTAAGTAATTTAAAAAAACATGATTAAACTAGACAAAAGCAGGTTAAATCAAATACAAAGTTATTGTCGGGATGGAGAAAGTTTACCCGGTTCGCTACGAAAAAGGAAATTTCGGCTCGCTAATGCTCTCAAAGATACACTTTCTCGCTCATCGACTAAATCTCCTCCATATCAACATCAACCATGTATTCTCTATTTTCGATTTATATATTTGATTTGTTATATTGAATTTTATAAACAAAATAAAATACTTGGCTTGAAATTTGTGGCTTAAGCTCTAGCTAAAACAAAAATGCATATCCAATGTGGATAAATATTTTGTCAATAAAAGTATGTAAAGAAGTCTCGACATTTGATCTGAGAAAATGATTTGTGTCTTTAATTTATTATTTTAAAAAAGTATAAATATCAATTACTTATCTGGTGAAGATTTTAAGTCCGTAAACATTTCAGGTTAAACGCTTTTTTTGTTCAGCTTGATTATTGACAAAAGCAAATTTTTTTTTTCTAAATACCTATAAAATGAAATCTTTTGAACTTACAGATGAAGAAATGTACGTTTCAAATTACATCTTCATTATTTAAGCTTGATATTTTAGGTTATTCATTTCTTTTCTCAAATTCATACGTCTACATATTATTTGAAAAAAGAAATTGTTTAGATCCTAAGCATATTCGATGAAGGAATATCTAGAACAATAGATAATGATCCAAACTTTTATGGAATAAACTCATATCTTGTTATCCTAAGCTGGCGTCTAAATACACAAAACTAGAGAGACACATGATAGGTTTTATATTTAAGGGAGTATTTGAAGAGTTGAGTGAATGTAGAAGACAACTGCGAAGCCATTCAAAATAGCATTAAGACTAAAACAATCAGTTTTAAATTTCAAACTTTAAATGAAAAATGTTCAAATCATTAAATGATTAAATTAATTAAGAACACAAAAATCATCTCAGACCTTATGTTGGGACATGTGGACAAAGCAAAGCTGTTTTCTTACTAAAATGTTTTGTTTGTTTGTTTTATATTGTTTTGGTTTTTGTGTTTGTGTGTGTGTGTTTTTGTTGTTGTTGTTTTTTGTTGTTGTTGTTGGTTTTGTTGTTGCTTTTTTGTACATTTGATCTGCATATTATTTTCGGTTTTGTTTTCTCATTACTTCGAATCTTCGAGTCTTCTGCCGTCTGCCTCATTGTTAATGAATTCACCGTATCTGTCTATCATTTTTGATATTGCTTTTTTTTTGTAGAATGTACTGGAAAGGCCGATTGTTATGGTGACCAAGCCCCAAACCTGACATGTCCTGACAGCGCGAGACACTGCTACGATAACAAATGTATTTGTGACCGATTTCCAATAAGTGGTGGACGAAAATAAGTCATTGTATTTGATTAATTGTTATGTTTTACAAAATAAATATGCTAAACTCTCCTTGAAGTTGTGTCAATGTCTTATACAAAAACGTATTTCTTTGAGAAAAGTTGGAAACTGGATTCTCTATTCAATCTGTTTTTCATCTGACTAGTCCTGTGAATTAAGTCATTTTGCTTACCTATTAATAACTTCTGAAAAGTTAGAATATGTTTCGTCGGCTACTTCTAGCAAATTGAATATTAACCAACATGATTTTTATTTGCATATTGTAGAGGTCTTTTCATCATACATTAGAACACGCTGACCAAATGAACTGCATTTTATAGGGCCCTTTACTATCCATTAGATCATTGTTTCTGTTATACTGATTGTCTTTAATGTTATCACTTTTTAGTATAATCATTGCAGGAGATTTCAATTTTGATGTGTATTCATTGGAGGAAGTTAAAGCTTTATTTTTAAAGATAAAATTAGTTTTTTTGTGATCACAATACATTATCTACATAACAACTTGAGTTTTAAATTTCAACAATATATAAGTTTGTGAATTTGATATTACAGTATGATGTAAATGTTAAAATTTCAAATTTGATTATGGAAAGCAGGTGTAATAGTATTAAATCAAGGCTAATGCAATAGATATTCATATCGCCATAGTCGCCATATGTCCTTTACTGTGTTGGTGCGACGTTAACCCCAATATAGAAAAATACGAAACATAAAATCTACAATAATCTTACACAACGCTTATGATTTATGACTGTACTTATGCACGTTTGTATACTGAAATAGATGCATTTTAGCACACAAACAAAATTTGTCTAAAAATCATGTACCTGAAAATAATTGCTTTAACTTCGAGGAAGAGGCTCAGTAGACTCCAAAGATTGTAATGAAAAGATCTAATATTGCGGATTTTTATACAAATTTTTATAGTTACAAGAAATGTGATAAACATTTTATTGGAATCCCATAGTTTCTGTAACGTGAGCCAGAGATATCCCCAACTTGGTTAACCTGAATGTTTACTTTTCCACGAGGCGGTCTCTTTAAGCGTGCATGTCTGTTTGATTTGTCCTTGTCGCTTATCTTCCATAATTTACTTCAATTCTACTTTGTATATTTACTTGCCTTAAATTTTTGCTTTGTATATCAAAATGTTTAATATCATGGTTTAAATGTAACACGAATAATGGACCTTATGCATGGTAACTAAGGCAAATCAAAATAAAAATAACAATGACCTATTTCCTTTCAAGTGAGGAAACTATCCAGCTAGCTTAAGGGAGCGTCGGTGGTTGGTTCTACTCAGGTGCCCGTTCGCGCTTGAAATAATGAATGGAAAGGCACCTGAGGTCTTACTCCGCCAGTAAATTTGGAACGTCGTCATATGGTCTGTACTGTGTCGGTGTTACGTGAAACCCAAATAAGCAAATTAAATCCTTATCCCCTAACATGAAAATTAAACATTATCTCATTTTTTTCGTTTGTGTGTGCGTTTTTAACCTTTTACCAAATATCGATAGTCAATAACGTCAAGATAAAAAATTCACTAAAGTCTGCTGCTAAAAATAGAATTATTGATTGATTCATTCAATTAAATTTAATTTTGCTATACTAAATAATACGAACTTAGATCAATAGTTTGGTTACGTCAATCGATCAATTGCACAAAGCTATTCAACTCATATCAGGCATGAAGCTTGTACAAAACAATCTTTAAGCTTGAAAATTACAAAAAGATTTGCTATCTCTTGCAATGTAAAACACGGAAGTGTACATAGATATCATTTGACATTTTAAATCTTTACATTATGTCAAATCAAGGTGTACTTGACGATACATTTAACAATCTTTCTGCGTCGCAATTCAGTTTCTTGATTTGCAGAGCTGTATTTAATTTTTTTTTTTGTGAATTTTTAGGTAATGCTTTTTTTTATTTTATATATCCGAAACTTTTTTGTTCCACTATTGTTTCACTATTTTAAGAATAAATCTTTTGAAATATATCACTAATCCAGATAGACAGCAGGCAGTAAAAATGTCACTTTAAGGTTTCCATTTCTGCTTTCTGATACCCTGTAATAATATAATCTAAAGCAAACAATTCTTAACCTGACAAAAAGACATAAAAGTTAAGTTGATTTAAATATTTTATTAAAACATATTTTCAAATGATTATCAATGGCAACCCGCTTATGCACAATTTGTACAAATATAATGTAAACAAGAAGTACCTTAAAAAGTTTATAAAAGATACTCGGACAAATTAAATTTTCTTTACTTCTATTATAAGTAATTATATCTATTTTACTTATTATTTACTTTATTCCGAAGTTTCGTCATGGCATTTAATCATTAATTCAATTAAACATCGCAAGGTATGTCTCAAAATGGAACTGTCATTGTTAACGTCAATGTAACGTATCTAACATTGACTTTTAATATACAGATTAATATATGCTGTATAAATTTAATGAAAAAACATCTTTAATCATTCAATATCATGAAAAGAAAAGTTCTGTATTTTGTTGTTTTTTTTTTTTTTTTTTTTTTTTTTTTTTTTATAGTAATTTTGATGCCGTTTTATTTTTTCATGCACATGCGAGTCGATTTCTCGTTATTTTGGGTAACAATTTAATCCGTAAACAAGGTTTTTACTACAGAAGTAATGAAATTTTAAAAGCTGTGTAAAATGTTATAATGTTTGACTGGAGGAAGCCAACACGATTCACAGATCTCAGATATTCAAGAAATTTAACTAGGATTGGTTTCTGAAACTCTTTAGATTAACTTTACATTTAGGCGTGTATCACACACGTATGTTTCGGAAAGATCATTTGAATTATTATGACCAATGAGATTCCCTAGTTTCAGTTTGTAATGTTATAATGACCAATGAAAAAATTCTAATTATGTTCAGTTCGGTTCTTTCCTGTAAATATTACACGTTCCAGTTTTACATAATATATGTAAACGGGGGTTCTGTCTTGATCAAAATGTCTTAAAATAACCATTATTTGTCACCTTTTTTTGATATATATACCATTAAACGATTGTTGTCATTTTAAAGTGTTTATATATTTTTAACAGGACTGCAAAATTTGAAGACATGTGACGCATTTGTTTGTATCGGAATGGTAATTTACCGACCTTCAAAGATGCGGTGTAAATAAAAGTATCACTTAGATATATTTTAGTGCAATACAAGCTAAAAGGCATTAAAATAACTTTGATTGTCAGATAATATATTTACTATAGAACAAGATAGAAAAATAGCAAGTATGATTTAAGTGTGTGATCTAAAACCAAATGTTTACAGTTATCTATCCTGTGAATATGAGTCCATGAAAGTTTTCAGGGAAAATTGATGTCGTTAAAAATACCGGGAAGCATTCGAATGTAAAACTTTCCCGTAGAATTTCAATTCTTTAAAAAAAATGAAATGCATTAACACAAATTAAAAGTATCCCCATGAACCTCTTCCAGCTGCATCAATCCATCTTTGAGTCTGATTGATAAATATTCACCTTTAATGTCAGGATTCTGTTGTTTTTCCTCATAATTTGATGACCCAGTCACCATTGACACTACGTGCACCTTTTCACCATCGGGATCATCGGCGCACACAATTGCACCACTGTCACCCTCCTTACTAAATGGCACGATTTCCTCTTTGTCCACTGGGTGCCTGTCTTCTATTTTGACAAGTCTTTTCATTCCTTCGACATAAAAATCGGGAATGATTATTTTTCCCAAGCCGGGAGAGCTACTGGCCCCCCAAATATGTACAGGTAATCCCTTCAGCCACTCAATTTCCGCCTCGTTCTCAAACGATGACAGCTCACTTGCCAGTGGAGTGCCACAATGATCTTTGAACATTGTAAGACATTTTGATCTTTCTTTTTTCAGAACGAGCCCTGCAGCAATATCTAATGTGGCAAACCTTTCGTGCACATTGGGTGGAATAATATGAGCAAAAATACATTTATTACCCTTCTCATCACGAACATAGACAGGTTTACCATCATCTGCAAAGTGTCGTGCTACAAGTAAACTTAGGTCTTTCGTTTCCCCTTTCAGAGCAAAACCACCTAAACTAGCGCTTCTATTTTGTCGACTTGTAAGAGTTGATCCAACTTCATATTCCGCAAATTCTGTTATGACTTCTTGCTCTAATCGAATCTTGAATTCATTGATGCCGTGTTTATCGGCGATTGTCTGAACTTTTACTTCAGCGATGTGTCGTTGCTCGTCAGTAAGCTTATTACTGATGTAAACATCTAAAATCCGGAACCTGTATCCACATCCAGTTACTCCAGGAACGCTCAGAAATTCCCTTGCAACCTTGAAATGTTATAAGACATATGTAGCGACAAATAATTATTTCTGTTCAAGTCTCACAAAATGGACACACTTTTGTTCTATGAAATAAAAGAGTTTAAAAATTCGAATTTTCAATTGATAATTGTGTTTGCTCACAAGGGCAAGTGTTTCCGATATTCCTTAACAATACAAACTAATGTATTATATATTATTTGATTTCTTCCGTTTTGGCCATTCCGTTGAAATGCAGTTGGTAGACATGATGGAAATTGAGTTCTAAATATATATGAAAATTGAATAAAATCGATGTCGTTATCATACTAAATCATAATGATATTTTTAACTATGACATTGAAATATGTACCACAGGAAAGTTAAATTTTATTTCTCATTCATATTCAAAGTGAAAACATTTAGTAACTTACCTGCTCACATAATGTGGTCGAAGAATGTTTCATCTGCTTTTGCACAGGTCTTTCATAAAATGGGACCATACTTCGTTGGTACATACTCATGCTTTCCCCATACAGTTGGTTTAAATCATCCTTGTTAGTTTGTACAAGTTCTAAATGTGTCTTAAAACGTTGTTCTAGTTCTATTGCTTTTATTGTATGTTCATGAGATTTTTGGAATAATTTTGTCTGATCTACGATCTTCTGCGGAATGCGGTCGGAACCAGACTGGACTGTCTCTGTAGGGAAAAGGTATTGCTTTTTAAATATATTCAATTAACTTTTTTAATGTTTTCAAATGCATTGTTATTAGCTTCTGTAAATGAAATGCGTACTTAACTACATTTTGTATTATAATCTTTTGGAAAATACATTATTTAGATTAAATAACAATACATTTTTGTATTTCTTTTTTGTCCTTTAAGAGTTTAGTTTACTACTTCAAAATGATCGAAGTCATTTCAAATACGTGTTGCATGATACTGATAACCAACAAATATCGAGAATTTGCCGCAAAGATCGAATAGCAACATCTTTATCTGTAAGTTTGAATTCTGCAAAAGCATTGTTTTTTTTCCGTTTGGCTGACATAACACATGTGGCTCTATCAGATTACAAATTGAATATAAACGCATGCAAGAATGAATCAATTTTGCTACTGCAACAAGTAAATCTTGTAACGTCACATTACTTAATTACACGTCCAGTTTTACATAATCCCATATCAATTGTTAACAGTATAAACAAAATAAATATATTTAACAACGAAGTACAGTGTATACTTACCATCGGACACGTATGGAATTACTTGCTCACAAATCTTTAATGTCTCTATTGTTCTTCCACCTACGTCTGTGCATTCCAGCAACTGGTCTCTTACTTCTGGAACATGCTTCCCATACTCAGAGCAAATCTTGTTCTTAATGGCCGACAATCTTGCAGCACACCATGTCGCATGTACGTGTATAGCATCCCTATTCTCTATAGATGTAGATCTCGAAGTAGATATTGATCTGGTTGGGTCATACTTCTTTTTAAGTATATTTGAAACATCTTGATCTAGTGTAGCAAATGCTGCTTCGGCAGGGTCTACTTCTAAAAATGTTGATAAAATTGTAACTCGTTTCTTGAGTTCTTGAAAAAGAATTCTCTCTAAGAGATATCCCATTTCCTTCGCAACACTTGCTCTTGTTTTGACACAGGTAATTCGATCATCTATCGTTCTGATATCCGGTGTTGTCACTTGAATTTCAGTCTCGTCCTCTGCAATGAGTACACTACAACGTCCAAGATATTGAAATAAATTACTGTCCGTTTCGATGGCCTTTGAATAGGATGCAATGTAAATGGCGGCAGCTGTATCTGGACATTTGTTCTGGAAATCCCTAACATCCTGAACTTTTAGTATTGTTTGTTTGATATCAGAATTAGGTTTCGGTGTCAATTCCTCAACATTGATGATATGTGTACTGGTGTCTGATATGGTATAAATATTTACATCCTCGTACTGAGGAATCTCGAAAGGATCTGTAATGTTGCATTTCTGTGACAATTTCCGGAACCGTTGCAGAAGAGGGACTAAATGTTCTCTGGCGTATCGGTATCTTGGGTAGGCCGCCGCCGGTACGATGAAATGTTTAATCTCCATCTCACCGTCACCTTTTGGTTTTATTTAATCATATGAACCTAAAAAATGAATAGTAAACAAAATTGATTCAAAATGAAATCAAGATCAAGAAGAAACCTTGCAAGCCTACATCTTAAGGCAATCAATCAAAGTACCGGTTTTAGTCAAATTAATCATTAAAAGATATGCAAAGGCACATTATACTTCAGAAAATCATTCTTTTATTCTTAGGAAATGTGAAAGATGTGCTTAACAATGTTCTGATAATGAATTAAGAACATGTTACATGTTAAACAACTTAATGAAGTAGGCCTGAATGTGTAATAATGTTTCGTTAAGGTAGCAAAGCGTAAGCAAAGTACTAGTTTGACTTCCATACAAAATACATATTCAATATAATTATACCAATTACCAACGGAAATAAAGGAGCAAAATATAATTCATGTAAATGTATATGTATATAGCAAATGAATATTTGTGTGGAAACTGTAACAAGATACCAATACTAAGAAGTTTTTGAGAAGGAAAAACGATGCATATCTGAGGCATAATGATCCTTTATTAAGAACATGAAACTTTCAATATTTAGTACCGAGTAATGGGAATTGACACGCTAATATAAGAGCAAACTATCTTAAAGTTTCTCTAGTCCACTTATGTTAATAAGGATGTGATACGACAATAGTATAAATATAAATTGTATATATTACTGAACGTTTGGGCAGCCATTTTAAATGAGTTTAAACTATAACAGTAATTGTTATATATGTTTGTTTATCGTTTGTATTGACTAGACAAAAACGAAAATAATATTTATTACATGGCAGCCATTTTTAGAGGAAATCTGATCGATGATTGTTATTTTTTTCGGATTTAAATGTTGAAAACAAATTATTCTATAAATGATAGATTAAAAGTTCAAATGACAGAAAAAGAAATTTCAGTAAACCCCTACCTTATTCACTTAAATCCATTTTTAAACTTTTTAAACAGTATTTCATAAACCTCCTTAGTGACTTAATCATTTTGTAAACTTTAATATTCTTAAACCTTTGGACCGGAAAATGTAGTGTAATACAGAATATAAACCATTTACCGGTGTGCTATATTTTAAATGCATACTTTAACAAGTTACATACGATATACAATCAAATCTGGTTTATAAAGTAAGTAAACATAATCACGTGAACGATTGTTTGCAAAATTGAATAAGATAATAAATCATTTCGAAACTACGATGATTCAGTTAAATGCGCTTTACTAAATGCACTTAAGAGTGTTATCTGATAACAAACGGATGCATTTATGTTATGCAAATATTGTGCTATGAATTCATAGCGCGTGCATATAGAAAACGTTGTGCAACATGTCCAAAAGTGTTTGATCATGGTTTATCTTTGTCGCTTTTCAGTCAGTATATACTTTGAAAGTTTCCATAAAGCAGCATACTACCAGATTCATGCTAATTTTCATTACCTTTTTTAAAACTGTATAAAAAGTAAAACACTGTCAATTAAACGATAAAGGTAATTTACTCATTGTAAACGGCACTTAAAATCTACAAAAGCTACCGAAAATAGGTCAGAATATGTCAAAATAGTCCTTATTCGTTAGTCACGCTGTGCAAATATGGTGATAAATACTACAAAATCAGTAAATTAAAACATATAACATGTAAATTATTAAATGAATTTTAAATCTTTTTACCTTTATTATAATCTTAATTAGTACATTTCTTGAGTTAGATATTCTTAAAATATTTTGGCTCATCTGCAGGCATGCAGCCTTAAAATGATGATTTTTTTTTTCTTCAGATTGAAAGATAGACAATGTCTTTTAAGATATTATGCGTATATTTGGATTAATAAGAATGGCGATAATTTGATAAGAATAGCGTAAGTAACTTCAGTTCATGAAAAAGATGTAATTTGAAAGAAAGAAATGATATTTTTCTCTTCATCAAAGACCATGTCTATTCTAATACACGAATTACAAGTATTCTTTCAGCATAATATATAAATGTAAAATATATTTGAATATATCTGTCGTTAGGATTTTTCGTGTTTATGTAAAAAAAATATTTGTTATTAAGGCATAATTTACTCATGTAAAGCATATATTTCGTTGTTGTTGTTGTTGTTGTCTAAGCTAAATAAGGGTCAATCCGCCCTTTCGTGCACTAAGAGTACGGACCCCGGACATGTCACCAGTCATGCCCTTAAAAGTATGTTTAAATCGAGAGTGGTGACCTATTTGATTGAAATTCAGTAATTCACTAAATGAGCCCAAATAGAATACAAATATTTTTATTTATTAATTATGATAAAATGCAAGGGAGGCCAATGAGACCATTATGTGCATTAAGTTAAGATTGTAAATGTGCTGCTGCCTAAAATTCGGACGTGCAAGGTTTACTGGCAAAAGCCATACGGTCACACGGACACATCGACAAGCAATAGTGCTTCGGACAAGTGTTATCGATGTCGTTAGGACTATTTGTGTTTATGTACAAACACATTTCCCTATAAGTTTTATTGTGTTTATGTGCAAATGTATTTGTCATTTGTTCATAATATATTCATTATTTTTGCGTTTTATTTTGTTCATGTTGTTTGGTTTTACGTCACCCAACCAGTGTAGGACATATGCTGGTGGTAGAGGAAGGGGCTTCAGGTGTTTGCACATTATTTAGTAGAGTGAACAACCGCGCTCCAAGCTAGCCGGATAGCTCACATGAATATATTTTTTAAAACTATATGTCGTAAGGACATCGTGTTTATGAATAAATATTTCGAATAAAAAGATGTCTGTGCGATTAATATATTTGTTTGAATTGTAATGTTTAAAGTGAATGTAATATCAAATGACTTCAAGATCTTTTTTAAGTATGTATTCGAGTAGTACACATTAATGTAATATAAAAACCCATGTTAAACAATATTTTTAATTTAAAGTGTTTATGAGAAAAAATACTTGATTGTCTTTATTTCAAATTTGCCTCGCTAGACCCAGTGTTAAAGAATATGTTATTGATTTCTAAAAAAATTTGAGTTCTCGAACCCCTTTTTTGTTAATGTTTAATTTTTTTTGAATTAAAAAAATCGTATTCATGATTTAAACATTACCTTTTAAAAAAAAAATTTTTTTTATTCCCCTTGAGTTTATTGAGAAAAAAAAAATGATACCGATTTAAAACATTAGAAAATTTTTTATTAAACAATTTATTCCCTTGTGTTTTTTTTAAAAAATTAAAATCTTTTCACATCGAAACAAATCCCCGCCAAAGTTAAGAATGATAATTTTCTCTTTTTAAAAAAATGGTAGTTTTGAAATTTTTTAAAGGAATTTTCCCCTTGAGAATCCCATTTTAAAGACGCTAAATTTAGGAAAATTAAAAAATTTTACCTTTTTTCTGTCCCATAAAATTTTAAAATTTTAGAAAATTGATGTTTGAATATCTTTGTCTTTGAATTAAATTGCCATTCTTGGTGAGCCAACCTCAAAATTTCATTAATTTCAAAGTTCCGTTCCAAACTGTCAATGATTTCACGGATGATAGCATACACATCTTCAAACATATCCGCAACATATTGATTTTAATAACCCATACAGGTAGATGTAGTGTACTGCGTAAAAAGGTAGTATTAAAATAGAATTGATATGAATTTGAATTTATTAATACTTGCCACCGGTTACCCATATCATGGTTTTGCAATTCCTTCAGAAGACTATTATTCATTTTATATGCAAGATACAAATACAGAAAGATGACCCAAATCCAGAAGCTTTTCCTGCTTCTTTAGAAAAATCACTTCATACCGTTTCAGAACATTTTTTTTTTTTGTATTTCAAGCTGTATCCTGCAAATTTGGGGAAAGATATTTCACTGTTATCCATTAAATGTGTTAAATAAAGCATGGACACATTTTGCTCCATGTTGTTCCAAAATCAATCTATACAATTTAACAGTTTGTATTCAAGAACTATTATTGGTTAACTTGTTCTTGTTCAATATCGCAACCCTTTAGTGGGAAGTACCAACTCTCTTATGTTGTTAAAACTTAATTATGGTGCGAATATTTTGCTTTTTATGAACAACTACAGCATCCATGTAAATACGGTAAATTTATTAGATTTTTTGTCTTATGTTTGCATGTTACTTTGTATCTGTTTTGTATTCAAAACAAAACAATAAAATATGATTAAACTAAACAACCCCTTAGTACTAAGGGATATTTATTCATCGAGCAGTGGACTCGTATTCTATGAGAATATCTAACACACAATTTAATCATTTGTTTAAACCTAACTCTACTTGTAAACAGTTTGTTTATTTATAAAGGTCATCGTTTTGTCCACTGTCATACATGTATTATCTAAATATAGTGATCCCAAAATCGACCTGGATAAGTAATACTTCATATGTTTAGTAAGTGAACATTTTACTTTTATTTAGATCATAGAGCCAACTCTATATTGCATCAAATTTTAGCCACCATAATATGGCATATTATACAATGCATAATATTTTCAGTAAATAGTAATATTATTTTTTATAACAAAATTTATATCACCTTCATAGAATTCATTTGGCCCATAATCAACCACTTTTTGTTTCTTTTTTTTTCTTTCTTCATTGCTATGTTGGTGAATCATAGTAAGTAACAAGTGTTTACATCATTGTCCAATGGACGCATGCTCTGTTACTATACTCAATTATTTACTGATTATATCTTAAATGTAGCAAACAGTTGTATAGCAGGATTTTATTAGGATTTCAAACAAAATATAATGAGCCCCATTATGTTTTTATGCATCTCCTTGGATGCACAAGGTAAAGAATTGTACATCAAAATGGACTTTTGGGAAGTATACTGATGCAGGATTCCGCGTTCGGTAAATCCAGCATGTAATTATATATCTTAACAGACTCGTATTAAAGACTTTGACATGTTGTGACTGGCGAATTTGGTCATTTAAGGTGACAACAGACACTTTCCGTGGTACTCACATAAATGTCATTTAAACAAAGTTATTTTAGTAATAATTGTTATTTATTTAATCTTTGTGCATTAAATGTCGTTGATCATCATAAAAAATAACATATTTGAAAAAAATGCCTTTGTAAATGATTGATTTTGAATAAAAATCCTAAAATTTTAAATCGTCATATCAAAGTCATTTTTTAATTTTTTGTCATCAAACTTTTGGAAAATAACCATACTTATATTATCTAGGGAACCGTGTCTCAAATTTTTTCTATCTTTTCTCAAAAAATATTACGTAACGTCAAACATTTTATACGACTTTTTTCACCATACATATTACGTAATTAAAGATAATTAAGTCGCCTATTGAGCAAACAAAATCCCTGACACGATTCCCTCCGTAAATAAATTTCCTTTCATGTGCTTTAAACCGCATGTTAATTGCTTTGATTATTAAAAAAGTTATGCCGATTCAAAGTTAGTCCGACCGCATCAAACGAAGTGTCATAAATCGGCTGTTCTCTCTCTCGGACCCCTACGTTTCACGCTAAATAATTGCATAATACACAAATATCGCGCCAGAGAGGGTCACAAGTTGCGTTAACATACTTTAACAACATTTTATGACCCAGTGACATCTGACCAATTAAAAAGCTGCTGATTAATATCAGTTTATAGCCGAAATTTCTTCAATTCTTAACGTGATTTACTGTCCGTCTGGTATCTGTCGCACATGTCACGTGACTATCGGTAAAATTTGAGGCACTCAGTGGGGGGAAATGGAACGCATTTGCGCACCGCTAGCGGGGTATTTAATTGTTTCCTTTTTGAAGTTTATTATTATTATCATCATCATCATTATTATTGTATTATACCAGTGTCACTCTGCCTGTGTATTCGTGTATGAAATTCCGTTAAAATATAAAATAAAATAACAAAAAACTAAGCTTCTGACAGTCTTTTAAAGTCCATGGTAGATGTACAAATAAGAACGGGATATTATATTTTTTTCCACCAAATTGATAATGCTTCACATATTTTAATAGAAATAAAAGGTATTACTCGATCATTATGATCTGGCCTTCTTGACTTCTATTATGAATATCATCTATGCACGGCATAGAGATCCAGTTTCTACCGGGATAGACAATAAATTTCATACTTTGTCCCAGATTTATTAGTACTGTGTCCGATTTACTGGCGAACAATTTATTTTCACTGAGAATATATTTTAATATCTTTTTTTTATTTATAGAGAAATAATCATCCTTAGACAATCTAAAATGGTTTAGAAATTGTCAGGGACACCTTACCACAAGTCACATAGGCGTTCACATAAAAAAAATGTTGTCTGTTTTTGTTGTTGTTTTACTTGACATTGTTAGAAAACGAGGTTGAATGTAAAGTAAGCCCTTGAATCCGTACAAAAGTCTATCAACTCAACGTAATATCTATCAGATTAACGGGACAGACAAATTATTTTCACACATTATGGATATTTTAGCAACTACATTTTTAATCAACCCCGTGGTCGTGCGATTTGCCGCTATGCTTAATTATTTATGTTTCATACATTATGTTACGTACATTGGCCGACAATTTCTTAATTTATAAAAAAGGCTAAATGTTGAGATATTCATAAAAGATGTACGTTAGTTGTACGATACATGTATTACGAGAAGTATGGACCAGTATGGACCTGTAATTCACGGATATATGGAACTACCGATTTCCCTCATTGATGCCTCAACAGGGGGCGGAGCGTTATCGATAATCGACAGGTTACGCGAAAAGCAGATACAAATAGTATAGGTTCCGTTTTAAAACGTTTAAAAACACATTTTTTCGACTAACTGCTTCCAAAATTAAATCACGAATGTGTTCAGAAAAGGTTGTTAAATCTACTTAGCAAAAAATCTCATTTTAGGTATTTTCAGTGATAATTGACTCCGTTGTCACCTTAAATCTATCATCTTACCTATGGTCATATAACCTGTCAAAATATTTTTTAGATACATAAAGAAGGTGAGGACAATATAAATGCAATAGAGAGTCAAATATCAAATTGTGAAAACAAAAAGATTCAATCCGAGGGTGGGTGAATTAATTTATTTATTTATTTATTTATTTATTTATTTATTTATTTATTTATTTATTTATTTATTTATTTATTTATTTATTTATATTTATTTATTTATTAAATTAATTAATTAATTAATTAATTAATTAATTTATTTATTTATTTATTTATTTATTTATTCATTCATTCATTCATTCATTCATTCATTCATTCATTCATTTATTTATTTATTTATTTATTTATTTATTTATTTATTTATTTATTTATTCATTCATTCATTCATTCATTCATTCATTTATTTATTTATTTATTTGCTAATACAATTTTACAAAAACAAAATATTAAACTATTTCCAATATAATTTAATGTATAACTTAAACAATCTTACAGGCACACATGGCATGACTTATTGGGATGACACACCAAAATTACTAACAGAACATTTGTAAAAGATCGGCCATTTCACTATTGTCTGTGTTGACAAAAACTTCATAAACAATTTACATCGGTGAGCTATAAATTCATCTGGATTATATATATTCCATTGGTTAACAAAATTTGTTCATTTTACTTATCTATACTATTGAAAGTTCATTAGGTCATTTATGAATATGGCAGTCAGACTTTTGTGATTTTAATCAAAAGCCATATTGTTATGGCTGTGTGCTTAAAGGCACATGAATTATGTGTCAGAAACGAATATTTTATTCCTTCTTAAGAAAGGGCAAATATGAGTTTTATAACATATGGTCACAACCTATGCTAGGTACTTATCACCAGTCACTTACTTACTTGCTACGTACTTATCACCTGTAGTAATTAGCGCTGAGTGTGCATAAAAGTAGCAAGATGTTCACAAAGAAGTATTTTGACTTCCATACAAAATATTAAATCACTAAAACTGTATTAATTGCTGAAAAGCAACATATTAAGCAAAATATAGTTCAAGTAATTAGACAACATTTTAGAAACTACATGTATAATATGCCACCAAAATTAAAAATTGAGAAATAAAAACTATTATTATTATTAAACTAGGTGCTAATCGGTAATTATAATATTTTGATTCAGTCCAAAACAGTATGTCATCTACTTGTATCATCAACAAAATGAAATAACTTATGAAATTTTTTTCCAGTCTGAAATACAACAATGTCGGACGGAACAGAAGTGAGGAGGAGTTTCAAGTATAAGATGGGCGGTCCGAAGGGCGTGGTCATGTTTGCATTATTCTTCACTGTTTATACGTTCTATATAACTGCCAAGTGCCAGACGGTACTTTTTTACATCTCCATTTTTACATTAAAAACCCGCATGCTAGTCTTTTATAACCATTCATCGAAATAATGTTCAGAAACGGCACAGCTACATTAAACCCGACTTAGGCCTACACCCAGTTTCCTAAATTAACGATATGCACCAATAAGCATTGTTTTGCATCGGAAAACAAAATATAGGTATGGAAATATTCTGGTGTGAGGTTAACTGTGCAGCGACAAAGACGTAAGCAAGCATGTGTTATTCTATCAAATAGGCCAAGCTACGCAGAAATGAAAAAAAAAAAAAATTTTATCCATCGGCTTTTATGATTTTGACTGATCCTTGTATGGTCTTACATGCTGATACCTTGACATAAGATCGAGTTCTTTACTTTAATTACCTTTATAACGGGCAATGTACGAGTATTTTGAACATAAATAACTATCATCCGAAGAGGCTGCTGCATTTTCAATTCATATTGAACGGATAGCTACATTTTCAAATTAAACTGTACAACATAAGAATCTCATTTTATATTACAATTAAATACAACTCTCAATTTTTTTTTCATTTTTTTTTCTTGAAGTTCTCATGCAGTTTTGCTTTTTAGGGAGAATGGGACCTTCTGGACTTTCGTCTGCAGACCAACGATGGGCTTGTAGCCGTTGATTTGAAGATTGCCGCTTATATTTTCCTTTGGTTCCTAGCACAGTGTTTTCTGTATATTCTTCCTATCGGCGGACACAGGGAACCAGGCATTATTTTGCCATCGGGTGATCGGCTTTTGTATAACACAAATGGTAAAGTATAGAATATATGTTTAAATCGTATTTCGTCATTATACTTTTTTGTTGGTGTTTTTCTATTCTTTTTCTCTCTCTTTTCGGAATTGCATCTAAGCTCCTATTAGTAGAGATATATGTTGTTTTTTTTCTCTTATTCGTTTTGATTAGCATTTTAAGTAAAAATTGCAGGCATTTTTACAATAGGCAGTGCCATTTAAGCTCTTAAATTATTCAAAACTTTGTGTCTTAGTGTTAGCGATTAGATCATTTACCCAATATCGATTTATATTTGCCATGTGCTACTATTTGATTGCGTGTAATGACCATTTCAAAAGAATAACCGTGAAGCATAAACAACATCAAATTCATTAAACATGTGTGTGTGTGTGTGTGCGTGCGTGCGTGCGTGCGTGCGTGTGTGTGTGTACTTTTCTTTATAATGTTAAACAAAGTCAAACCATATATTTTCATGAATTCTTACTTACTAGCACTTACAGCACTTACTGCCAACATAGCGTTGCTTGCCGCCGCAGTTGCGCTCGGCTATGATGTTAGACGTATGACAAGTTCCCTAGTAAGCATGTACAAGGCGTCTGTGTTTTTGTGTTTCACGTTCAGCGTTTATTTATACGTTAGAGGCGGCACAGCAGACGAACGTAAAAAGAACTCAAATGGATGTTCAGGTAAGAAAATTTGAAAATGATTTAACCCCTAAACTTCACGAATGTTCATTTCATGAATATACCCTGCTTTGAATTTGAAACAGTATGTTAAAGTTTGAGGCTTATCGATATAAAAATACAAACATTGGGTTACCAGCGCAGCGGAATAAGCCTGGGCACACTGTACTGGTGTGCTGGAGTGAGGACCAAAACTTAGAAACTTTCGCGTTTCAGGGAAAACGTCTTTACTTATGACTTCAATTTCATGACTTTTCTGAATAGCAATACAGGTGAGCAAAACACACATTGTGAAAAAAGGGTCTGTCAGTGTATTTCATAACTTTTCTCAGTAAAATGAATTTAATTTTAGTCTAAGTATTTGACTGAAGATAAAAATGTTTATTGAAACAGTCTTAAGTTAGTCCTAAAGTTGGTTTTATGCCCTAGGACTTAGGATACACTAAAGACTTTCTGAGAAACGCAGCCAAGCAATCTAGGCGCTACACTAGTGACAAAGGCTAACACAATTTCAATGTGTGATTATGATGGTTATTCTAATTTTCTTCTTATTTTTTCTTTATTCTAAAAGGAGAAAATGTTTTCGGAAATTTTTCATTTGTAACTTTTTATTTGTTTTGTTTTCAAGGGAATGTTGCATACGATTGGTTTATTGGACGGGAGTTAAATCCAAGATGGCGGTCACTCGACATCAAATACGTTCTTTTTAGAAGCGGAATAATCGGTTGGATAATCTTGAATCTATGTTCTCTTGTGGAAAACTGGACGACATTTGAACGTTTTAATTCGACATTACTGTTACTCAACATGATACAATTAACATATGTTGCGGACTATTTTTGGTTTGAGAGCGGAGTGATCGTGTCACGTGATATTGTTCATGAAGGTCTTGGATATAATATTTTGATTCAGTTCGTGATGATTCCGTTTTGTTTCTGTGTGCAGACAAGATATATATTGACAAACGACACCAGGTTACCAAATACAGCTTTTTGTTGTATTGCAATAATTTACAGTAAGTGAAAAATATATTATTATTTTCTCAACTTTAAATTTTAAAGAGCACATGTCATTTGAGATGGAACTATCAATGTTCTTAGCAACCATATAAAAAACATTTCTCGCATTTGAAAAAATAAAAACAATAATAATTGCTTAAAACTTAACGTAGGATTCATTAGACTGTGTCACGCCCTTTAAGTATCCTTCCGAATAGGACCCAAAGGGGTGCATTATTATAGGAGTTACTTTTCGGAAAGACTGTTAATGGATCTTATCATCGACGATTTTCGATACAATGATGTTCGTCTTGCAACAAATGACTGTTTGCCTGTATTATGTCTGTCTGTATGTTTGTATATCCGTCCTTGTGTCGCCTCTCTCAATTTTCACCCATGCCTTTCTGTCTATCCATCTCTGAGTATATTTGTCTTTGCAAAATAGTATGAAATTAATGGCATCCACTACAGTTCATTCTGAGATACTTTTAGCGGCATGTCTTGGTTTGTCCGTCCGTATCTTGTCCGTGCTAACCTAATTCTATGAGAATTAAGATACGTATTCTATAAAACTTTCAAATGCCAGTATGCGTGTGAGTTGTTACACTTCCCATTGTCTTTTATGGCTATACTTAATCTGAAAAACCAATCCTGCGACCTTGATCTTGACCTAGATATTTTTGTTACGTTCTCCCGAGAGATTTCCCCTTCTTCAAGATTTTGCCTGATGCTCAACTTGCAATAATGGCTGTCATATTTTATATCTATATTTTCATTCTAATGTTTACAACACCACTCTTTGATAACCGCCTCCGTGGTCGAGGGGTTAGAGTTGATGACTTCTAATCCAGTTACCTCTCTGGCGTGGGTTCGATCCCCGGGAGATGCTTAGGTAGTTTAGCGCGGAGAAAGGTAGTCTAGTACTGGTGTAACTCTCTAGGAACGATATGGCTGAAAAACTGTTGGGGAAAGGCGTAAAATGAAACAAACAAACAAACAAACTTCTTTTGATGTTTTAATTGCAGCTACCGGTTACTACATATACAGAAGAAGTAATTCCGAGAAAAATGACTTCAGGAAAAATCCTAACGATCCAAAACTATGGTGTAAGAAAATTTTCCTCAGTTATTGACTGCATTTATGTGATTGTTCGTACCAAAATCTTTTTAAAAGTCATTTTCGTATTATTTCTTTGCTAACACATTTGAAATTACTAGAAATATTTCGTGACATTGTATTCGACAAGTACCATTGTAACAGTCATACCTTTTTAAAACGTTATATTCATAATGTCAATAAGTCAATTAATTAATAAATCAATCAATTAACTAATTAATAAATTTTGTGTCTGCTTTTGTACATACATGTACACATGGTTTTAAATACAGACTATACGAGATTCTACAGAACTCTTGTGTTCTTAAACTGTTATATTATTTGGACATGTACACACAGTAAAGGTCACATGTCTTTCCAGCTTTACTGGGGGGAAAGACCGCAGGTGACCTTTCGTTCATTATTTCAGGCACGAACGGGTACCTGAGTAGAACCACCGACGTTTCGTTAAGCCAGGTGCATGGATAGCTTTCACACATGAAATAATCCAAAGTGAACCCACTGCGTGGAGGGTCAAGTGGGCTGACTTAAGTCAACGACCTTAACCACTCGACGTAAATGAACACTTCTTACTTTGGAACTCCCATGGTAATTGTATGAGAGTTCAAACACATAGGCCTGGCGATATATAGAGTCTCTATCTCAAAAGAAACGTTAAAACACACGTTTTCTTTTCAGATTTGCAGACCATGCCCACGTCATCTGGCAAACGATTGCTGATAAACAGTTGGTGGGGTATGTGTCGCCATCCAAACTATCTTGGCGACTTGATTATCTCCCTTAGTTATGCTCTATGCACAGGTTTGTTTGCGTGTTAATATACTTTTGCATGAAGTTTTTTTTCTCTCATATAAATTTGTAAATGAAACAGCTGAAAGTTCATATATATTGTTTGAATCATTGTTTAGAAGAAAGGTAATTACCATTGTATAGTCTGAACATTATGTTATACTTGAAAAGCGGAAAAGATAATGAAAGTTAGTAATCTTAGTAACAATCATGGTGAGATATTCAGGACATGTACAAATTATTGTTAAGCCATTAGTCATTAGATTAATTGTCTTTATATATTATTGAGTTATTACATCTAGGGAAACTCGACCCATTTGTTCCTATGACTGGCGCGGTCAATAAAATTACAAATTAAAAAAAAAAACATCTATGGAAAACTAGCTTTTAAGGTCCTTGTTTACCTAAATGAATCAAAATAGCTTTTCAAATGTTTGCTTTGCAGAGACATTTTACTATAGCTAGAATATTATTTCGTGATATTTTAAAGAGTCATGTCTCCAGATGAGTTAAGATAAATAGTCAAAACATTTAACTGAAGAAATACATACTTACAATTTAAGTGTATACATATTCACAAACAATCCAAGTGCAATGTAATATAAGGTATTATGCAAATTGTGACAGAATATTCTTATAACCAAACTTCTCCCTCGTTACTAAAGGAGTCAGGGAAATTTCTGCATATTTTAACAACTTACAAGCAATATCTGTTGTGAGTGATCCCCTAACGTTTGGTTAAATCATTTGATGTGTGCATTGAGCAATATTCATACTCATTAAAACATCTTTTTGCAAGTTTTTGTTTTAAAAAAATTAAACACAAAGCCAGGGATCTACGAACTATTTTTTAAGAACTGAATAATAACAAAATGTCTGAACCATGGTAATAAGTCTTATGTGAAGTGAAATGCTACAACTTTGTAAGTGTAGTTAATTTGCATACTCTCAGGGTAGTTCAAGTTTAAATAATAAATATTCTATTTGAAAGACCCTGTTATTCTATATATAGCACTACTTTTTTCAGGATTTAGTCATGTGGTACCGTACCTCGGAACTACTTTCTTAGTCCTTTTACTGCTGGATAGAGAAAGACAAGACAACAACGGATGCAAGCAAAAGTACGGTACCGACTGGGACAAATATTGCCGAATTGTGAAATATAGAATTATTCCAGGAATTTACTAGTCGGATTTTTCCGGAAATTATTAAAACCAGATTAATATAAAACAGATTCGGAGCATTATCTCAATTTAATTATGCGTTGAATTTTGAAACATTGTTGAATATAGTGTAACTTAGTAATGTATAAACTAGAAATAAAATTGTATGTATACATATGTTCAAACAATTTATGAATATTTTCGTATTCATGTTTTCATGTTCGCCTGAAGAAATTATCTGAAATACATGTACTTGTATTTTATTTATTTATTTCAGTCTCATCTTTACATGTGTACATAAAGTTTCATATAAAGCGTAAAACACAAACATGAAATACATGAAAAGCCATTCAGAGACTATTTATTTTGAATCTAAGGGAGACAACTCCACAGACCATATCACAGCAGTTTACTGAAGAATTATCCCCCCTAGTTACACAAATTTCATATTATCATTATCATTTATTAAAATGTTATGTTGTATTTTTTTTTAAACATGATCTCAATATATTCAAACTATTGCATGTTTTTCCTACAGAAGATTACATTGTGGTACAAATAATAAAACGATATTAAAATGTTTAAATGCAAATGGTAAGAAGAAAAATTGACCATTATATATCATTTAACCTTGGAAAGTATGTCATTTATTATACTTTATACTTAACATTCTCAAAATATTACTAACTTCAATATATCAACGATTTGTTTTCTTCAACATAATTTACATGAAGATCTGTTTTATCAATACAATACATTGGCTTAGTCGATGGATGTTGTATACAGAAGCAACATATATTTGTCCAATATGTAATATTTGTCCAATATGGCCATTAAAACTTATATAAGTCAATTAATGACATTTACAAAACCATATCCTGTCAAATAAAATTTCCTAAAAACTGTTTTTATTATAACTTTTATACTGTCCAATTAAATTTATCTAGGACTACATAAACTATAAAATAATATTCACTTTTTGAAAAAATGATAACAATGTGAGACCACCGTCTTAGTGTACAGTACGTAAAAGCATTTACCTGTATACATGACGTTGGATAATTCATCACCAATTTACATGAAAGATATACAGACTTACACAATACTTACGCTGTGAGATTTTCACGACTTAAAGATATTGTACAATCCAATGTAAAATCTCAGGGTTCCTAATTTATGCACATTTCAGTAAAGTATGTGGTACTTTTTTTCGTTGTAGAGTTTAGTTCAATTGACAATACTGTGTTTTCGAACAATTATTGATAGAAAAAAATATCAAGGATAAAATATAATAATTGCCTGAAATATAAAAAGACCCCAACCCCACTCTTTTTATTTAATCAACTATATTGGTTAATAATATTTTATTGCTCTTTGAATACAATTGAAGAACATTATTTTCACATCAAAGGGCAAAAGGGTTGAACAATAAGTTCTAGCAACATTAGTAACTGTCCTCATGGTCCTTCCTGAAGGATGTCTACAAAAATTAATTATATACACATGAGCTATACCGATTACGGCTATTTATACCTGGATGGGTAATCGATTACTTCGAAGGGAGAAAACTCTGTATTTACGGAACTGTACGGGTCAAAATGGGATCCGAGATAGTGAATACGATCCGATTGCGCAATCTAGAACATTCGAGTAATCCGAAAAAAAGAATTTTACTAAAAATAGAAATGAGGTCACTAGGAAACCAATCAGAATGAATCATTTCAGTCACGAGACTCGTGTTTGCATAATGATCATAACAAAAACAAATGTGAACTTGTAAGCAGGATGGTCTGAAATCTGTTACAAAAGATCAATTTTCCTTGACTTATGAGTAATTTAGAAGAAAAAGAAAGTAAACTACAAATTGTGGAATCTCAAGAGGAAGCGGATATAAAAGTAAGTCTCATTTTATTAATTGATTCGTTGATTTATTACAAACTACAAAGTAATAATTTTCAATATTAACAGTTTTATTGACAAGATGGCGCGTTATAATATTTACTGTATATGTTGTACATTAGTTTTAACTTATATGTTATTGTAATACGGTGTAGTCATCTTCACGTGTCAGTATTAAGTCCTTTTTTTCAGACAAATTATGGTCTACTGTGTAAGTATCAATTATAATTTAATTAGTTAATCAACTGATTGAACCAAAATTTAAATGAAGTTGATTGATAGAAAATTTTGTAGTTAAGTTAACTATCTTTTTTAAAAATGGTGACTGATGTCATAATTGGCAAGCATTACTCGCATTATTCATAGCTTTGAGCCACATTGACCTTACTTTGTACTATCACATGATTGATAAAAATAGTACCTGATCTTATCACAGCTAGGGACCCAGCACAGTGTTGGGATAGTGTAAAAAAGTAATTTTTAAAAAAAATATATATAAAGTATAATTTTTTTTCTAGAATTACTTTTTTTACACTATCCCAACACTGTGCCAGGTCCCTTTGGATCTTATATAAGCTGTTACCAAGTATTAATTTGGAGTTTGATTATGTATCCAAAATTTAAAATAAGATTTACACTTCTCAAAATATTGCTTATTCAAGAAAGCCATTGATTTGTCATGTGGGATTTATTCTGGCATGAATTTAATCACAATTCAATTCAGGCTGTGATTTCTAGGATTTACAAATCATGTAACAACCATGTACAGTGAACAGTAATAATTAATAAATCTATTGTGGGTTGCATTGCTTACATTCAGGGAGCTACATATGTTCATATATGTATGGAAGTTTGGAGATGATTATGGTTAGTATTCAAATTAAAAAGAATGTAGATAATTTATACCTACGACAAGCTCAGATCAGGTCTGTCACTGAAAGATTTTGTTGTCAAACTAATATAAATTACTTGGTCATGTAACTTAAATGAAGCCCTAAATACAGTGGAGTGGCAAGTGTTCAAATTAAAAAGAATGTAGATAATTAATACCTGTGCATATAATTATTTTTCTTCAGGAGGAGCCTGGTACTAGTGGAATGTCTGGTGATCGACCTCAGAAGCGTGCAGGCCGTAGACCAGGTCGTCGTAGCTCCAAGATGGATGTTAGGGCCAAACTTGAACGAAGCAGACAAAGTGCACGAGAGTGTCGTGCGCGGAAGAAATTACGGTATCAGTACCTAGAAGACCTTGTCGCAAACAGAGAAAAGGCAGTTTTTGCCTTAAGGGATGAGCTGGAAATGGTATTTATTCATTAAGTACATGGTAGAAATAATGAGAAAAATTGTAGTTTCTGAAAAAAAAATTCAAACTGAAAAGTGGATTTAATTCAGCAACTCTTGACCAAACTAAAAAGTCAACAGAATTTTTCATGAATATCCTTTACTATTAAGGTTATATACAAGTCTTATATGGTTTTGTTATATGGTCCTGTTTCCTTTGTTTGCTTCAGTTCACCAGAACGAAGAGTTCTTGGTGAACTATATAGGAGGTAATGATTTGATGCTATCTTGCTGTCACAGTTACTGAGTTAACATTTTCATGAAATTTGATTGCTGAACATTCAAATTATGCCAAAAGGGCGTTTAATGATTTGAAAGGAAAATGTTAAATTCCTTACAGCTATTACATCATTTTCTTTTGAAGCTGTATGCCTTAAGATTCATGTAAATACATGTAAGTATTCATGAAAATTTTAAAAGTATATTTAAAAGTAAAATATTGTGTAGTGATCAAATAAGGTTAGTAACACGTACAATCCTCATAAATCACCCAAAAGAGGTCAAAATAAGCAAATTAGCCAATACTGCATTCATCATTCAGAAGAAATAGTGTGATAAGTACTGCGGAATCAGTCATTAATCACACATAGCATAAATTAAATAAATTACTTGATTCTTAAACATTTTTGCATTTCTTAAAATCTTAGTGCATTTTTCTCAAGTTTGAATTTCTTTAAAATATGTTGGCTCATCTGTGGTACAACATGGGCAATACAGACAATTGATTTTGCCGATCCTGCTTCAAATATGTTGGCTCATCTGCAGGTATGCAGCTTTAAACAGAAATTTGGTAGAACTTGTAAAAAAAAAAGCACCAGCTGAATGCATTTATACTTAACATGTATGCTTGTTTTGACCAAGATAATTAAACATGATGTACATTCTTGCCTTAAACTGTCAAATAATTCTTAAAAAATTTTGTAATATCCTGGCACAATGATATAAAATGTGAAGAGAAGAGAGATAACTCTGGATAGCATTATTTTAGAATAATTTCCCTAGATGGTAGCTTGAAATCATTGCATGAGTTATGTTCATTCAAGATGTAAATAAAAGGTCTTTCAAAAACTGTTGATAGATAATGGGTCCAGACTCTGTCTTAAAATATTTGATATGGTCTTAATATGCATGTTCTAAAAATAAGATGGTCTTAATATGGTCTTTAGATAAGATATGGCATTGTATAAGATATACAAAGCATTTTGTCAGGCTTATGACCCTTATTATCATAAAATCTTGTAAAAGAATTGTTCAGTTTGTTTCAGAAACCACTTTGTTATATTGCTGTTTGTTCTCATAACAATTCTCATATTAGAGGTTTTAAGTGTCATAATTTTTATGCTGGTCTCAATAAATACTAAACACCTCCATGGTTGAGGGGTTAGAGTCGATGCCTTCTAATCCAGTTACCTCTCTGGTGTGGGTCCTATCCCCGGTAGATGCTTTGGTAGTTTAGCGCGGAGGAAGGTAGTCTAGTACTGGTGTACTCTCCAGGAAGGACCATGTTTAGGGAACTACCTGCCTATATGACTGAAATACTGTTGAAAAAAGGCGTAAAATGAAAGAAACAAACAAACAATAAAGTCTACTCAATTGAGAAATCTTGTATATATGTACTTAAGCAACAAAGCTTTATAGATATACATAATCCACCTTGAGCTTATGGAAGGTTTGTGGTTTTACTTCATTCTTTCTAGTTCCTGAAATAAATTAATAGAAGTAACTGTGAAGCTGACATTTTCCTCTACTCTGAGTAAAACTGGAAAGGTTCAAGGCGTATATGTATGGCTTTAAAACTTAAAGCAGATTTCCCAAAAAAAAGAACAACAAAAATACTACCTGCACATGACTTGGCAGTTCAACTGTTTTGGCCAATGTAAAAGCAAATTCTTGTTTGTTGCCAAATAAATCAAGGTTGGCAAAATCTGATCTGTTTTTATCTGAAGCATTACATACATGTACAGTTTACTTAACTTGTCTGTATTTTGTATTGTCTGTTGATATTTATATAGTAAATTCTTGAAAATTTCCACTTGTCCGTACAGAGTGGCTGTAGTACAATTTGGGCAATTCGGACAATTGACTTTGCTGTACCTTTACAAATAAAAATCTGACTTTAAAACTTCTTGTACAATTAAAACACATTTCTGTAACTATTTTGTGAAGATCTATTATTATCCGGAATGAAAAACTTCATCTAAACTTTAGTGGAGTCAATAATAGATTGTTCTGTGCCTGTTCAAGTAAGTAATTCATTTTCTTATCTTTCAATTTATTTTCAGACATGATATAATTATAACTTATTGTATTGACAAACTTTCAGTCTGTATACATGTACACATACTGCTCATTTCCAAGAAACTGCCTCTTAGGTCGAGGGGTTAGAGTCGATGACTTCTAATCCAGTTACCTCTGGCATGGGTTTGATCCCCGGGAGATGCTTTGGTAGTTAAGTGCGGAGGAAGGTAGTCTTGTACTGGTGTAACTCTCCAGGAACGATTGTTAGGAAACTACCCGCCTATAAGACTGAAATACTGTTGGGAAAAGGCGTAAAATGAAACAAACAAACAAACCAAGAATCATTTACTTAACAGTATTTTTGCTTAACAAAATGTCAAGTGCTATGTAACAGTATATTAAAGCTACAGACATCTAAGTTCATATAAAAAGTTTCGCTTTTTATAGTTTATACTATTATAGTGTTTGAGAACTCAAAGCACATGCACAAATGTATAGAAAACTTTATATAGCTGAGAAGTTTCAGTTAGAACAATTATATCACTTATTTTTTCAGTACAAGCAATGGTGTATACAGATAGATTCAGGGCTGATGCCCATGTCCCTACTCAGCATAACAGATAATGGTAACAAAGAGCTGGGGCCAGGTGCGAAGAAAAGGCAACGGATTGATAAAACATTCGAAAATAGTGACATCATAACTTCGATGACATCATCAAATGCCAGTTCTATCATGAAATCACAATCTGCCAGTATCAGCTTGGAACCAGAAGCTATAAATAGATACAAGGGGAGTAACTCCAGTGCTAGTTTGTTTTCAAAGGGAGACAATCTGTTTGATCATTCTAAAGATTCAGCAGCAGAAGGCACTGAATCTGACATGGATGATCTTGAATGGAGGCTAGATGGTGATATCATCAGCATTGTACCAAAATCATTTAAAAATCCAGTGTTAAAGGGAAGTAACTCTGTACTACCAACAATTGTTGAAGAGGCAGAAACTTGACATTTCTAGAGAATAGAAAATTTTGAATTTTACAAATGAATGGATGATGTTAAAAAAGTCTTCCATGGAATGTGTGTGACTTGTCGAAATGTAATAGTTCCATTACTTGTTTAGTGACTTTAGTCAGAATCTCTATGCTTTGTTTTAAATGTTTAAAAAATGTAGCTAGCCTAGTCAAAAAGCGAAGGGTTCATTAGATAAAATGGTATAGTGTTTGCTGGAGAGATTGCAAAAGAGTGATGTTAAAAAAAGTGTATATATTGCAAGCAAGTGTGTACTGTACCTTATCGAAAAGTGATATAAATAAAAGTGATTTTTTAAATTTTAACTCATTAACAGTATGCTAGAAAGTGTTATGTGATATATCTCTACCTCAAAGAGAGTGCAAGAAAGTGATATAAAAGAGAATTATATATAATTTAGTAAATTTTCCATAGGGAGAGTGATTTAAAGAAAGTGATATTACAGTGAATTTCATAATTGTATTTCAAAGTGCTGTAAAGTGATAATTTGTAAATCTGAATTTTTCAGTATGCTTTAAAGTGAGTGAAAGAGACTGATCAAAGCATTAATAGTCTTCCGATTAAAGTCATTGAGAAGAAGCGGTTTAATATAAAATGTATTGAAAAAATGTAGAGAGAAACAAAAACATGAGTGATATTTTCAGGTGTGTGAAAATAAGTGATATTTCCAAGTGTTTGTTATAATATGTTGTGAAAGGAGTGTTAAATAGGAGGGAATTTGAGTATTTTATACTATGTAACCTAAAAAAGAGTTGTTGATTTATAAAGAATGAATCTTAATTATATAGTTTAAAGTTAATTATAAGTTAATTATATAGATTAAAGTATATTTTTATAATCTTCTAGTGTATACCGTGAACTATCATGTAGAGTGCTATAATTTATTTTAAAGTGTTTATTTTTATATGAGAGTACATGTATGTGGTAGAGTGATATAATTTTAATTAAAGTGTTTTATATTAATGTGAGAGTACATGCATTTAGTATAGTGATTCAACTTTACATAGTAAAAATAGTTAGAATATTTTATATTTTATATATCCTTAGATAATTTTGCTTCTGAGCATTGACCAAGGAAATCTGCAGTTTTACATGTACGTTTGTGTGGAAATTACAGTTCTAAATGTGTTCATAGATGAAGAAACTTGTTGATAACATTAAAACCATAGCAAAGTATAGACATAACATTTTTGCTGTTACTATAGTGAAAATTGGAAACATATTGTGACAACTTTGTGACACTTATATTGTGACAGTTTGATAAAAGAAAAAAGATAAAATGTACATCTGTATGATTAATATATGTCTTATATGTTAAATTTGTTGTGACAACTTCTAAATTACCTCAAAATGTTTTTTGAATAAAATGCATGTATTATAACATGCATTGAAATATTAGTGACGCATAAATTGTGACAGTTTAGGGGGGCGGGGGAAGTGAAATATATATTTATATAATTTATTATGTCTTATAGTTATGTTAAATTAGTTGTGACAAATTTAGAAGTTCAACCTTTAAATGCATATTCTTTTTTTTTTATAATTTGTAGCCATTGAAATATTTTTTACACAAGCAAATATCTGAATTCAGTTTATGTCAATAATCATAAATGATCCTAATATTTAGATAAGTATACATAAATAACAAATTTTTAACCGCCATCTGATAAAATACAAAAAAATCAGTATTTTAACAATTTCAACTTCAGAAAAAAAACAATGATTTATGAAATTAATGATATTGAGATTTTTTTGAATATTTTTGTATACAGTGTCAAATTATTTTTGTGAAGTCATGTATATTCACTTTGGCAGTGTTTAAAAATGACTTTAAAATAAATATAAGTATAAATATGGTACATGGTGGAAAACCGATTGGTATTTTCAGTAAACGATTCATTATGACGTTTACTTTTTAAATAATTTACAATCTCACTCTTTTATTTTGAATAATTCATTTGCAAAGGATCATTGATCTTGTTTTGTTTTCTGAAAACAATGATTCAATTTAATTATATCATATGTATTTATGTTTCTTTTTTATGTCCAACTGTTTAGATCAGTATCTAAAAATAACATTTATTTGCATAATTATGAAATGTTTATTTCACTGTTTTTTGACAGCTTTAAATGACAGACAAAGGGAGGTTACTTGTGTAATAATTTTACTAACATTCAGATGGTGATATTCTCCCTTTAATTGTTTTTGATTAAGCAACTATGTTTGATTTTGTTATTCTTGTTCGTTGTTAAGTTATTTTTTGTCATGATCATGTTAAATGAATTATTAGCCTAGTAGGTTTTAATTAGAATTTAACAAACTGTTCATTATTTAAAGTTCATTATTCAAATTAATTTTTCTTCTTATTTGTATCAAAACACTTTTATTTTTAAGATCTCATTTTCAGAATTTATTTTTAAACATATAGCTTATTACAGATAATAAAAAAGATCTAAAATCCAACAGAGTTTATTAATTATAGCAAAAATATTGCATATTTCCCCAACCTCAGGGTCTTTCTAAGTAGATTTGAAAGACCATGGCTCAACTTTAAGTGTATTCTACAAAAAAGAATGACACATCAAAAACACCAAACACTGTGAAACACCTTCAAAGAAAACAACAATTCTAACTTAAATAGTGACACCAAATATGACTATCATTCAACAATGAATGGAATAGCCAAAGCTAAAGTGAGGTTTTGCTTTTGCTTTTAATTTAGTATCAAATAATGACACTTATTTAAATGTACATTATTTTATATAGGTTATTTCTATATACATATATAGAATAAATTTTACCATTGTTAAAGTTCTTGGATGAAAATAATTCATGAATTTTTTTAAATTATCAACATTCTGGGAAAAAAATGATATCATCAATTAAATTTTAAAAATTTAGTTGATATTTCTGTTCTTAAAAAAAAAACTTATAAATTTTTACATGATTTATAATAATGAATTCAACTGGTTTTGACCAGATTGATATGAAGTAAAATTAATTGTAATATTTATCGTTCTTTTTTTTTCCAGCTAAAGACATTGTGCCGTGAAGTTGACGAGGGAAACCCATCAGAACATTTGAAAGAGAAACTATTTTCTGACTGTAATCTGGACCAATCAGAATTAGACGAATAATGTCACCTGACATTTGTGTTGCGATGATTATTAAAAAAAAACAACAGAATTTCATCACAGTTAACCACAATGGTACCGCCTTACATATACAGAAAAAACATAAATATTTTTTAAAAAATTTGCCCTTACACTGACTTTTTAAGTTTGTGCGATGGAGATGTCTCCTCTTGTACTTGGAGTTATCCATTTGTTCATGTGAGGGGTTATAATTATCAAAATGCTGAAATTGGTCAATAAACAGTATAGAGCCTGGTCATACAGGCTCAAATTTTCATACTGTATTGATGTTCAGGCTGGCCTTGTCATTCTGCATAGAAATCCAGGCTGGCCTTGGCAAACTGCATAGATGTTCAGACTGGCCTGGTCATACTATATAGATGTTCAGGCTGGCCTTGTTATACTTGATAGATGTTCAGGCTGGCCTTGTCATACTATATAGATGTTCAGGCTGGCCTTGTTATACTGCATAGATGTTAGGCTGGCCTTGTCATACTTGATAGATGTTCAGGCTGGCCTTGTTATACTATATAGATGTTCAGGCTGGCCTTGTTATACTTGATAGATGTTAGGCTGGCCTTGTCATACTTAATAGATGTTCAGGCTGACCTTTTTATACTTGATAGATGTTAGGCTGGCCTTGTCATACTTAATAGATGTTCAGGCTGGCCTTGTTATACTTAATAGATGTTCAGGCTGGCCTGGTCAAACTTCATAGATGTTCAGGCAAGACTTGTCATACTACATAGATGTTCAGACTGGCCTTGTCATACTTCAAAGAATGTTCAGACTGGCCTGTTCATACTACATATATGATCAGACTGGCCTTGTCATACTACATAGATGTTCAGGCTAGCCTTGTCATACTACATAGATGTTCAGACTGGCCTTGTCATACTTCAAAGAATGTTCAGACTGGCCTGTTCATACTACATATATGATCAGACTGGCCTTGTCATACTACATAGATGTTCAGGCTAGCCTTGTCATACTACATAGATGTTCAGACTGGCCTTGTCATACTTCAAAGAATGTTCAGACTGGCCTGTTCATACTGCATATATGATCAGACTGGCCTTGTCATACTACATAGATGTTCAGGCTAGCCTTGTCATACTACATAGATGTTCAGACTGGCCTTGTCATACTACATAGATGTTCAGGCTGGCTTTGTCATACTTCACAGATGTTCAGGCTGGCCTTGTCATACTGTATGAATGTTCAGGCTAGCCTTGTCATACTACATAGATGTTCAGGCTGGCCTTGTCATACTACATAGATGCTCAGACTGGCCTGTTCAGGCCAGACTACACATACATGGATTTTCAGGAATGCCTGGTTATTCGAAGTTGAATTATTTACAATGTACATCAAAAAACTTTTGTAAATAACAGTATTTCAAGTCCCCTGTATTATGATACAAGAGGTTATGTACGAAAAACTCAGTTGCTGGTTCATTTGTACATATAATTATTAACTGGTCATCAATATTTGTGATGTGACACATAGACACATGTTGGTGACTCATAAATCTAGTGACATCTTACAAAACTTCCATTGATTTAAATGCCATAAATGGTTTTACAAATTTAGTGTTTTTGATACTATAAAATAAATGGATGGCTGGTAAACTAAAAAAGGGCAGTAACTGTGTTTTGATTACCGGTCTTGTACATGTACTTATTCTACTGACATCAAATTTTGTTCATCAAGATTGAACTATTGCCTTGTATATTAAGTCTTTATTTATAGTCTATTCAAGCATTTTATTAACACAATAATTAATATGCTCCCCAAACTTTCTAGATATTTGTTGATACAAGAGTGAATTGAGAAAAAATTTACTTTCGTGACAATTTTGATAATCATTTTTATCATTGATCATGTGTAAGATGA